GAAAAGAAAAGACAAAATTAGGGTGGTGATAATACAAAATAGGTAGAATGTATACTTTAACCCTTTGTATGGAAAAAAATAAATATGCAAAAGTGATAAAGATAAACAAGAACTATGTGAATGTATACTTGTAACTATATATAGGAGAATAAAAATAAAAACTTATTAAAATGGAAAAAGAAACTGTGACTTTGTCGAAAGGCTCTCTGTGTGCCCTTTCAAGGAGAGTGGCATCTGACCCCAGGTGTGCCAAACATACCCAGAAACACACACACACACACACAAGACACACAACACACACACACAAACGCGAGCGAAACTACGAAAACACCAAACGCCAAAGGGGACCGCTTTCCCTTAAGTCTTCCCTCCGTCTTCCCCACTGAAATGGAGATGATGGGATACGCCGACAGGTTTGGGGTGGGGTGGGCTGCAAATCAGGTCCCCCTCTCCCCCACCTCACGCTGGGTGAACTCGGCCGGTCTCCGGACTTACCTCCTCCGTTTTTGTAGCAGAGGTAAGGGAACCGCCAGACGTTGGCCAGATCCACCGAGAAGCCCACCACGGAGAGCAGAAAGTCGATCTTTTTGCCCCACGTCTCACGCTCCTGCAGCGGGGCGCCGGCGGAGCTGTACCCGGGGCCGGCGTGCTCCAGGAGGTGGCTGCTGGTGTATTGCACCCCGTTCTGCTCCTTCACCAGCAAGAGCTCCACGTCTTTCTTGCTCGGGGGAGACGCAGAGGGCTCCTCCGCCTGGACCAGAGGTTTGATCATCTTCGCTCTGGAGGGGCGAGAGTGGATGGGATAAAAGAAAGCAACTCAGCCGAGAGGAGCGGGCGAGGCGAGCGAAAGCAGGAGCCGCTTCGCCGGACAGCTGCTCTCCAAGAGCGCAGCGCAAAGACGCGCCCGCCAAAAGGAGGAGGGCGCCGGGCCAGCGGAACCTCCGGCCTAGGGGAGGGTCCTTCCTCCCCTCCCCTCCGCCTCCAGAGACCACCACTCGACCCCCGGAGAGGGGGCTTCCCAAGCCGGTCGCTTCTTCCTGACCCACCCACCCCCTTCCCAAATCAAGAGTTCGGAGGAAGCTGTCCCTTTTCCTCTCCCCTTAGCCGAGACAGAGGACTCTTCTAACTTGGGGAAGGGGTGCGGATGACGGAGTGGCGACCCCACCCCCGTTGCTCCAATCTCAACGAACTCCCTAGGCCCGAAGGGGGCAGGGTTCTAAATGACCCCCGACCCCACCCCCAGGCGTCGCCGCGGAACTTAGGTTTTCATACCAGTTTGAAACTTCGGCGCGCGGAACTGAATAGTTGTTAGCGAGGGACAGGGCTTTCCAAAGGGACCCCAAATTGCATGGTCCAAGATATTGTGCTCTGTGTGTGTGTGTGTGTTTCTCTCTCTGTCCCTTTGTGTGTGTGTGTGTGTGTGTGTGTGTGTGTGTGTGTGTGTGTGTGTGTGTGTGTGTGTGTCTTTCTGTCTCTGTCTCTCT